TCTCAAGTATTTAATCTTGTGATTAGCTATTGTGATGGGTATTCTTTTTCCTTATGTCCAGTTCTGTATACTCTTTGCCACTGTAAAGAAATCCAACTTAGTTTTGTATGTTGATCTTATATCCTGCCACTCTGCTGAACTGAAATTGGTCAATTATGTTCAGCAGTTTTCTTGCTGAGTCCTTGGGGTTTTCTAAGTAAACTATCATATTTACCTTCTCTTTGCCAATCTGGATACCTCTTATTTCCTTCTCTTGTCTTATTGCTAATGCAAAGTCTTCCAATACAATATTGAATAGAAGAAGTGATTGTGGGCATCCTTTCCTACTTCCTGTTTTCAAAGGGAATGCCTTTAATCTCTCTCCACTGAGAACAATATTGGCTCTTGAGTTTACATATATACTTTGTACTATGTTGAGGAAATTCCCCTCTATTCCTATTTTGTTGAGTACTTTCATCAGGAAAGGGTGTTGGATTTTGTTAAAGGCCTTTACTGCATCAATTGATAGGATCATGTGGTTCTTGTTCTTTACTTTGTTAATGTGATGAACTATACTGATTGTTTTCCTTATGTTAAACCATCCTTGCATACCTGTTATGAATCCCACTTGGTCATGGTGAATTATTTTTCTGATATATCATTGGACTGTATTGGCCAGAATTTTATTCAGGATTTTTGCATCTATGTTCATGAGAGATATTGGCCTACAAGTTTGTATTTTGGTGATGTCTATACCTGGCTATGGTTTTATCAAGAAAATGTTTGCCTCATAAAATGAGTCTGCGAGAATTCCATCTTCGTCTATTTTCTGAAATACTTCACATAGAATTGATGACAGTTCTTCTCTGAATGTCTGATAAAATTCACTTGTAAAACCATGTGGTCCAGGGCTCTTCTCAGCTGGATGGTTTTTTATTACCTATTCAATTTCTTCTTTTGTAATCGGTCTGTTTAGGTGTTCAATTTTGGTGTGTGTCAGTTTAGGCAGGTTGTGAGTTTCTAAGTATTTGTCCATTTTCTCGAGGTTTTCATATTTGTTTAAGTATGCTGTTGTTATGTACCATCGAGTCGCTTGTGATACATAGCGACCCTATGTAAGAGCTCTAAATGCTGTTGTATCCTGTGCCAACCTAGCCATCTCAAATGCACTCATTCCCACCACTCCAGTCACAGAATCAATCTATCTCATGGAAGGTCTTCCTCTCCTTCACTGCCCCTCCACTCTGCCAAACAAGATGTCCCTCTCCAAGGACCAGTCCCTCCTTGCAACATGCCCAAAGTATGTCAGACGAAGCTTCAGAATCCTTGACTCCAAGGAGCATTCTGCCTTCACCTTCTCCAGGACAAACCTGTTTGTTCTCCTAACAGTTCATGGTATATTCAACACTCTTCTCCAGCACCACAGCTCAAAGGCATCAATTCTCTTTTTATCATCCCTATTCCCTGCCACCTCTCTGATGCATAACACATAACTGCAAAGACTATAGCCTGGATCAGGCGCACCTTGGTCTCCAGCCCGACGTCGTTGCACTTCAGTACTCTTGAGAGGTCCCCCACAGCTGACTTTCCCAATGCAATTTGTCTCTTGATTTCCTGGCTGCTGTTACCAAGAATGTTGACTGTGGAGCCAAGTAAACTAAAACTGTTAAGTATTTCAATCTCTTTATCATCCATACTGATGCTGCCAATTGGCCCAGTGGTGAGAATCTTTGTTTTCTTGATGTTGAACTTCAATCCATTTATGAGGCTGCAGTCCTTGACCTTCTGCAGTAAGCACTTCAGGTCCTCCTCAGTTTCAGCAAGCAGTGTTGTGTCATCCGCAAACCACAGGTTGTTGATGACTCTTCCACCGATCCTGATGCCACATTCCTTCTCATACAGCGCAGCATCTCAGATGATCTGTTCTGCATACAGATTGAAAAGGTATGGAGACAGAATACATCCCTGATGGACCCCTTCTTGATTTTGAACCATGTAGTGTCTCCTTGCTCTGTTGTGATGGCCGCCTCTTGGTCCAAGTATAGGTTTCGCATTAGCACAATCAAATGTTCGGGGATTCCCATTCTTCTCAGAGTCAACCACAGCTTGTTGTGATCCACACAGTCAAAAGCTTTTGCATAGTCAATGAAGCACAGAAACACATTTTTCTTCTATTCCCTGCTTTCTGCCAAGATCCATTAGCTATAATATCCCTAGTACCACGACCTCTTCTAAATCCAGCCTGCACATCTGGCAGTTCTCTGTTGACATATTATTCCAAACGTTTTTGGATAATTTCAGCAGAATCTTTCTTGTATGTGATATTAATGATATTGTTCGATAATTTTTACACTCTGTTGGGTCACCTTTCTCCGGAATGGGAACAAAGAGCGATCTTTTCCAGTCAGCCAGCCAGCTGGCTGTCCTCCAGATTTCTTGGCACAACTTAGTGAGCACATCCGGGGCAGTATAGTTTTTCCATAATATTTCATTGTTAGCCTTTTATTTTACTTGGATCTGTTGTGACAGTGCCTGATACATCTCTTCTCTGGATTATTTGTCTTTTCTCTCTTTCCATTTGTTAGTTTTGTTAGTGATTTGTTGATTGTATTGACCTTTTCAAAGAACCAACTCCTAGTTTTGTTGATGGTTTCAATGGTTTTCTGTCTTCTATTCCATTTATTTCTACCCTAATTTTTATAATTTCAGGGTTTGGTGTCTTGTTATCTTGCTGTCCTTTTTAAATTTGTTTGAGATGTGGGTTAAAGAGACAATGGTAATTTATTCTTATCTTTTGATAGCTTGGCTTATTGCTGTAAATTGACCTCTGGTTTACTGCTTTGGCTTTTTGCCAGAGGTTTTGGTAGGTTGTATTTTCATTGTCATGTGTTTTAAGAAACATTTTAATTTCATTTTTTATTTCTTCTAGTACCCATTCATGTCTAAGCAAGATACTGTTCAGCTTCCAAATGTATGGTTTTTTCACATTTATCATCTTGTTATTAATTTCTAATTTTATAACATTGTGGTCTGAGAAGATGCCTTGTATTTTTATACTTTTCAATTTATTGCTGCTTGCCTTGTGACCTAAAATGTGATCTATTCTAGAGAACATTCCATGCATACCGGAGAAGTGCACTTTTTGGGGAGTTCATTAGCCTGTATCTATCTATCTATCTATCTATCTAATCAATTTGGTTTATTGTGTGGTGTAATTTTTCAGCATATTTGTTGAGTTTCTTTCTGGCAGTTCCATCTTTTCTTGAAAGGGGTTTATTGAAGTTTCCAACTACTATAGTGGTGTATATATCCTTCAGTTTTGTTAATGCTTGCTTTATGTATTTTGCAGCTCTATCGTTTGGTGCATAGATATTTATTATTGTTATATATCCTCTTGTTATACTGACCCTTTAAACATTATGTAATGACCTTCCCTGTCCTTTGTGATGGTTTTTGCATTGAAATATATTTTATCAGAGATTAATTGCACTATTCCTGCTTTTTTCTGGTTGCCATTTGGTTGGTATATTTTCCCTCCACCCTTTTATTTTTAGTATTTCTTTGTCTTCATTTTTCAGGTGTGTCTCTTGTAGACAGCATATTGATGTTTTTTTTTTAATCCAATCTGCTACTCTTTTTCTCTTCAGTGGTGCATTTAAACCCTTTACATTCCATGTGATTATTGAGACAAGGTCTTATTGCTATCAGTTTGTTGAGTTCTTTTTGGTTTTGTTGCTAGCTTCTTTGGTCCATCCTGCTTTCTGTGGCACCTCTGTAAGGAGGGTGTCTCTCAGTGTTTCCTGCAACGTTGGTCTTGTTTTGCAAACTCCCTTAGGTTCTGGGTTTCTGAGAATATCTTGATTTCTCCTTCATTTTTGATGAACAATTTTGCTGGGTACAATATTCTTGGTTGACAGTTGTGTTCTTGGAGTGTTTGATATATGCCATTCCACTGTCTTCTTGATCACATGGTTTCTACTGAGAAATCAGCCAATTTATCTTATTTGTTCTCCATTATAGGTTACTCTTTGTTTCTCCCTACCTGCTTTCAGAGTGCTTACCTTATCTTTGTTTCTGGCAATTATGACTATGATGTACCTTGGGGTTTTCCTTTTGGGGTTTTTCCCATATGACGTTTGCTCAGCTTCTTGAATATATATATATATTCTCTTATTCTTTATTATGCCTGGAAAGATTTCTTCCAGTAATTCTTCCACAATTTTCTCAATACCTGTACTTGCTTCTTCCTGTTCTGGGATTCTGTTGTTATGCATGTTATTCCTCTTGATGGTGTCTCACATTATTCTTAGGTTTTCTTTTTTTTCTTTCCTTTTGGATTCTGCTTTTTGTTCTAACAGATCAGTGGTGACAATTCTATCTTCTATTTCACTAATTCTGAGTTCTATCTCTTTAGCTCTGTTCATGTGTCCCTCCAACATATTCACAGCATGTGAAACATTGGTCTCCATATTTTGGATTGTGGTTTCTTGTTTTTCCAGAGCCTTTAATGCCTCATTTATTTTATCTGCATTGTCTGAATTGTTTTTCTAAGCTCCTCCTGGGTTTTGCTTGCAGTGTCCTGTAATTCTTCAAGTTTGTCTTTCACCCATTGAAAATATTCAATCATTGTTCTTTTAAATTCTCTGTCAGAAAGTTCCATCAGACTTTCTGGCTTCGGGAAATCCATTGATACTCTTGTCACTTTTTGGGGGGGTGACATCTTGCTTTGGCCTGTGTAGGGTGTGAGGTAGAATGCTTCTTATGTGATCTTGCTGTCACAGAGCTTTTCATTCCTGAGGCAATAGCAGGCTCTTGGTCTGATGTCACTGCTCCAGTGGAGGGTGGGGTAGCTACCCTACCTGGATTTCCTCAGTTAAAGACTTGTTTCAGTTCAGGAAGAAAAGGTGTGTGAATTAGCAGCCTCCTCGGTCAGACAGCGGCTGTAGCTAGGCCAGTCTAAGGTGCTCTGGGCTAAAGGCAGCTCACACTGTGGGAAAGGAGAGGAAATGAAATGGGTTCACCTGTGATACTGATGTCTCTGGTGCAGGTCAGAGGGGTAGCAGTGGGTCATCCTCCAGGTGTTGGGGTTGGGACAACCAGGCTGTGGCACCAGGTCCTCCAGATGGTGGGTCCAGGACCTCATGGTGGCGTAGACAGGACTTCAAGGTGTCAGAGCTGGGAGTTCTGGGTGGCAGGGCAGGACTTCTGAGTGGTGGGGTTAGGTTTCTGGGTGGTGGTGATGGTGGTGGGCTTCTGGATGGCAGGGGCGGGACTTTCAGGCGGCAGGGCTTCCAGGAAAAGGCCCACACAGGCTTCAAGACAGTGGCTGGGAGTGTCCCTGCAGCCAGATAAGGTCCTTCAGCATGTTCAAGGGTCCAGACAGCAGGATCACGTACCTCCAGTCGGAGGAGGTGAGGCCCTACCAGGCCATGGTCTAGTGTTTCAGGCAAGAAATCCGTCCAGGACACACTAAGACATTTTTAAGTCAGGTACCTACTTAATTGACTGGATGCACAGACGTAGGAAACAGTGTGACGCAGGTGACACAGGGCAATGCAGGTGACTGGTTCACCTTTTTTTGGAATGCAAATAAATATGCATGCCTTCCAATCAGTTGCTCAGGTAGCTGTCCTCTAGATTTTTGTTTGTTTCTTTCCTTTTTTTTTTTTTTTTTTGCACAACTGGGGGAGTGTCCCAGGCCATTATGACATGTTTGTCAAATGATATGCCATCAATACTTGGGCCACATCCCGCCTCCGCCCCCAATTCCTTCAGAGCAGCCTGCACTTCTTTCTTCCTTCATCAGCATTGTTTCTTGGTCATATATTCTTTCATTAAATTCTTCTGTGTCAGCCAATTCGTTTTGGAGCAGTGAATCTGTGTAGTCTTTCCATCTTCCTTTGATGCTTCCTGGGTCATTCAACATTCTGCCTTCAACATCCTTAAGTATTGCAACTTGAGGCTTGAATTTGTTCTTCAGTTCCTTCAGCTTAAGAAATGCCAAGCACGTTTGTCTCTTTTGCATTTCTGACTCTAGCTTTTTGCACATTTAATTAAAATACTTTGTTTTGTCTTCCGGAGCTGTCCTTAGAAATCTTCTGTCCAGCTCCCTAACTTCTTGATTTCTTCCCTTTGCTTTGACTTCTTCACGTTCTAGTGCAATCTTCAGTCTCTTCTGATATCCATCTTGGTCTTTTCTTCCTCTTTTGTCTTTGTAATGATCTTTTGCATTTTTAAAAATTTTTTTTTTATCTTTTGCATTCTTAATGAACTATATTCTCCCATAGTTTATCTGGTCTTCAAGTGTTCAAGGCCTCAAACCTGTTCCTGAGATGGTTTTTAAATTCAGGTGGGATAGTTCATGGTCAAACTTTAGTTTTTGTGGCACACTTTCCCTATATACTTCTTTAATACAGCTACAGACCTCAGCCATATTTCCTCCTCTATAGACATCTTCTGTCATCCTTAGTCAATGTCCTAGCATAGCAAGTAATTGAGAAGACCATGGCCTAGATCAGGTGCACCTTATTCTCTAGACTGACATTGTTGTTTCTCAATACTCTGAAGAGGTCCCTCACCGCAGATTTCCCAGTGCACTTTGTCTTTTGATTTGAGGAGTGTTGATGGTGGAGCAAAGCAAGCTGTAACTGTTAACAACCTCAATCACTTCTCCATCTATCACCATGCTATCAATTGGCTCAGTGGTGAAAATATGTGTTTTCTTGATGTTGAGCTTCAATTCCTATTGAAGACTATAGTCCTTAACCTTCTGCAGCAAGCGCTTCAAGTCCTCCTCAGTTTCAGCAAGAAAGGTTTTATCATCTGCATAATATAGGTTGCTGATGAGTCTTCCCCCAATCCTGATGTCACATTCCTCCTCATAAAGCTTCTCTAATAACCTGTTCTGTATATAGATTGAAAAAGTATGGAAACAGGACGCAATCTTGACATACTCCTTTCCTGATTTTGAACCATATAGTGTTTCCCTGCTCTGTTCTGAGGACTGCTTCCTGGTCCAAGTATAGGTTTCACATGAGCATAGTAAAGTGCACTGTGATTGCCATTCTCCTCAAGGTTAGTCACAATTTATTGTGATCCACATGGTCAAATGCCTTTGCATAGTCAATGAAGTACAGATAGACATTCGTCTGGTACTCTCTGATTTCTGGCAGATCCATCTGACATTGGAGACTATGGCTCTAGTGCCACGACCTCTTCTAAACCCAGTTTGTATTTCTGGTAATTTTCTGTTCATGCATGGAAGGGTGGAGGAACAGCACAGGAGAGGAAGACCCAAGATGAGATGGATTGTTACAGTAATGCAGCAATAGGGGTTGGTGTGCAGGAATGAGTGACCCATGACGGGACGGTTCAGAGCTGCTATAAACAGGGTCACTATGGGTTGCAGGCAACTTGACAGCACATCACAACAACAAGCATGACCAGGACAGCATTTATTTGTTTACATATGTCAATTCGTATTCCATCAATTCCTGGAGATTTCCTTTTTGCCAAGTCCTTCAGAGTAGCTTGTACTTTCTCCTTCATCACACTGCCTCTTGATCATGTTCTTTCTTGAAATTCTTCTGTGTCAGCCAATTCTTTTTGGCACAGTGATTCCTTCCATCTTCTTTTAACACTTCCTGGATCATTCAGTATACTGCCCATAGCATCTTTAAGTATTGCAACTCAGGGCTTCAATTTGTTCTTTAGTTCCTTAAGCTTAAGAAATGCAGAGTGAGTTTGGACTACTTGATTTTCCAAATCCAGCTCCTTGAACCTTTCATTATAATGCTCTGCTTTATCTTCCTGCACTGCCCTCTGAAATATTCTATCCAGCTCCTTAACTTCTTGATTTCTTCCCTTTGCTTTGACTTCTCAATGCTCTACATCTCTCCACTATAGATCTCCTCAGACTTCTCCTCCTCTTTACCCCTCCATTACAGACAGACCTCTTCAGATCCCTCTTATATAGATCTCTTCAGAGTCCTCCCTAATAAATCTCCTCCACCAACAGACCTCCTCCATACCCCTCCCCTATGTTGTTTTTGTGTGCTGTTAAGTTGCTTGTGACTCATAGTGACCCTATACACAAAAGCTCTGAACCCTGCTCTTTCTTGAGCCAATTTCATTATTGCAGACATATCTACCCCCATTTCCCCAGTCACTGAGTCAATCCATCTCATCCAGAGTTTTCCTCTCTTGAGCTGTGCCTCCTCCCTTAACAAGATGATGTCTGTTTCCACTGGGCCCTCCTAGTAACATGCCCGATAGATTTTCTTAATAACCCTTCCCGTACAGACCTCAGACTCTCTCTCTGCATGTGGCACAGGAAAGGGCAACCCAATACTAGAAGTACATCTTCTAGATACGAAGTCCCTAAGCTGGGAACTTTTAAGACCAGGGGAAGGCTGGTGGAAAGACAAGAGATTCCCAAGGAACGATGGGTCCACAGAGGTTACAAGGTGACAAAGAGAGAGCAAGTTTTCTGAGACCTGCTATTTTTGCTGTGGACCTTCAAGCATTCTATAGTTGAGCCTCCAGCAAGTTTTCAGAGGCAGTAAACCACACGGGAGAAGACTCCACCCTTCTCCCATGGAGCCGCTGGTGGATTCACACAGCACTCCTTTGGGATTGTAGCACAGCTTCTTACCACTAGGTCACCAGAGCTCCTTTAATGAGACCTAGCATACCAAATCTGGATTTGTAACTTCCTAAACTATTGAGTGAATGCTTGTTTAAGCCATTTACTGTGGTCCTTCTGTTACAGCAGCACTAGCTAACTAAGACTCAGATATTCACCAGTGTAACTAGATAGATATAGGTAGATAGATGGACAGATAGGCAGATACACAGAAACACGTGTCTCTATATGCATATAGAAATATACAGTGATTATTATATACAGGATTGACACAATTATTTTAACTATAGATATCATGAGGATGACACAGGAGCAAGAAAAGCACTGATCTGTGTTCACTGGGTCATTATGAATCACAGCCAACTTAATGGCATCTAATAACAATGCATTAAATGTATACCTAGAATCAATTTGATGACTACATGTGACTGAAACCATGATATTTTCAATCTCCTCATACACATAACAAAGGAAAACAATGAATGGGCATGAAGAAGAACCATACACCTCTGGATTATGTTACTGGCAAAGACTACTGACTATGTAATATAATATGTATATATTATAATGTATAATGTATAATTAATATATATATGTAATATAAACTTCCCAAAGAACAAGCAAACCCATTTGGAAGTAGTATAATCAAATGCTTGTGGGAATGGAGGATAGTAAGTCTTCTTAAGTACTTTTGGAGGAGAAAAGGGTTGTAGAAGAAGAGTGAAATCCTCAGTGAGATGGATTTACTGAGTGACTCTTAACAATGGGTGCCCACAGAGCAGCAATGCTGACGAGGCACAGGGACAGGCACTGTTTTCTTCTGGTGGAGGCAGGGTTAGTCTGAACTGGAACTGCACTGATGGTCTCTTAGGAGCTGGAGTAATATCTACTGTGCTCCAGGTCAGGTGATCCCAGGTGATAGGGAACTGTCCACTGGGATAACACCTTGGAAAGAGACCACAGGGGAGTGCCTACAGAGCCAATGGAGAAACCTGGATTGCCAATCTTGTCACAAGGAGTCAGCAGCCAAGTGCTTACCTATCTTTGACAGCTGGCTTTTATTTACTTCCATAAATATTTTTGGCCATGACATCCTTTGTAAGGCCCACTGCTGAAGTAATGCAGTCTCTTGAGATGAGAACAGGAAACTTACCTCACATGAGCTTTTTGGGGATGGTCCTGATCTTCAATGCCATGCAACTGACAGATTTCTTCCACTATGGAGGACCAGGTGTTGTTTCTCATCAACCATACAATATTTTCAATAGACAGCTTTTCTTCATCATTAAGGTTTCAAGATGTCGAAGTTCACCACATGAAACAAAATGAAAGGAGTCACTGGAAGGGGAAGGGCAGCAGTATGAAAAAAAATAGCTGAACACATTTTGCTATTTCATTTCAGTTCCTTGGCAATCACCAAATAAATTTATTACAAAATAGTTCCATGAAGAGTTAAAAGTAACAATAGCATAAATAAGGTATCATTAGAAAAGAAAAAT